CATCTTAACAACAAACTCATCTTAACTAAAAAAACACTCATCTTAACTAAACACTCATCTTAACTAAAAAACACTCATCTGATCAACAAACTCATCTTAACTAAAAAACATTAATCTTAACAACAAACACTCACTATTCAAACCCCTCAGTGACGGGGGACATCAGAGTACTGCTTGTCCTAATTTGTTTATCTTTTTGCTCCTTCTTCTCCTCCTGGTCATACGAAGTGTTTTGGCGTCAGTTTTCTTTTATTGACGTTTATCTAACTTTAGTTTTTTTGTAAACAATTCCCATGGTTGCTCACGCAGAACGATTGCACAGTGCTGATTTATTGGGATGTTTCTTTTAGGCTCGCAGCGTCCTCCCGGCTCCTTTCCTTTCAAAAAGCTAACGATGTGAAGTTAGTGGACGAGATGAGCTGATGAGCGCAGCTGTGCGCCTCTTTAGGATTCCTCCTCTCGCCGAGGCCAACCTGCCATCGTTAGGTTTGGCACGCCACCCTGAGCGGCCATTGTCGGAGTAGCCATGGCACGTTAGTGTGTCTTTCTAACGGTGGCTGAACTCGGTCCATTCACTCGTAAAAGAGAGCAGCCATTGGCAGAAAGTTGGCAGGCTGCACAGAGAGGCCATTCACCCCGTTAGGAAGGAGCTGAGAACAACCTCGGAAACGGCGCTCCCTGAATATCTGGACGGCGAGACTCGGGGTGCCTCGTTCGCTCCAACAAACCTCCACGAACTGACTTCGTTAGCGGTCGGTATCACAGCCCAACGCTCGCGCTGAAAGACAACTTAGGGGAGCTGCTCCTGGTGCTTCTGTTGTTTTGTTTTCAGGAGGAATTTGGAGTTTTTGGGGTGGCAGTGGTTTTAACCAGTGTCCTTTCAAGGTATCTGGATTCGGTCCAAGAGGCTGATATACGGGGGTCAGACTCTGAACCCCGTCTTTTATCTCCAGCGCTAGAGAAAAACAAATTACAGAGACTCTGAATGGACAAATAATTACTTGTAATTAATTTCCCTGTCATACATCTTCTTCAGTGAAGAGGATTTAGGTTTGAACGATTCACTCAACACCCGCGTCTCGTTTTGTGGCCTTCGTGGAAGTCCTCTAACGTATTTACCGTCGTGTAGAAAATGATTACATCTGTTGTAGTCCACTTGCACGTATCAAATTACCTCAAGGTGCTGTTTTGACAGAAACCAGGGAAGAAGCTTGTTTCAACTAATTGTCATCTGGCCACAGAAGAAGTGCATCCACTCCTTCATGAACTCACCCAGAATGATCTATGACGCATCGTAGAAGGACCGTCGTTTGTGGAAAGCTGTCTCCGTTTCAGTTTCTTCTGAAGACGAGAGTTTGAAAAGGACGTTTCAAAGAGTAATCCAGGGACACTCTAAAACACCAGAGCAGGACACCTCTTAGAGATTATTTAAGGATTATAACCTCAATTCTGAATAAGTTTGGGAAAAGGACATGATGATCACTGATCAATCTTTAAACTCCCCGAGAGACAATATTTAATTTGTTTTCCTGCATCTGGCTGAAGTGACCAACTTATCACCCTTCACAGATATTTAAGTTAAATATTTAAGTTTAAATCATGTGGCAATAGTAAATGTTCAAGGAAAATGTAAAAAGCTGAAACGCCCATATAAGGGCATTAGTCAAGAAAAGGAAGTGATTTATTTACATGAGAGGAGGTGATGGAAAGCAAAACACCTCCATCCATCCATCTGTCCATCCATCTATCATTCATCTGTCTGTCCATCCATCATTTGTCTGTCCATCCATCCATTCATCCATCCATCCATCTATCATCCATCTCTCTGTCCATCCACCCATTCATTCATCTGTCTGTCCATTCGTCAATCCATCCATCTGTCTGTCCATTCGTCAATCCATCCATCCTCGTGTTCTGGACTCAGGTCTCAGGGGCAGCATCAGAGCAGGGAGGTCCAGACATCTCTCTCCACAGCCTCTTCCAGCTCTTCTGGAAGGACTCCAAGGTGTTCCCAGACCAGCTGAGAGACATACTCTCTCCAGTGTGCCCTTGGTGTTTTTCAGCATCTCCTCCCACTTGGACATACCTGGAACACCTCCTTAGGGAGGTGTCCAGGGTCCATTCTTACCAGATGAACCACCTCAACTGACTCCTCTGGATGTGGAGGAGCAGCAGTTCTACTCCACCTCTCTCCTGGAGAACTGAACTTCTTACCCTCTCTCAGGAACAAAACCCTAAAATACTTAGGAGGCAGAATCTTGAGACCAACAAACTGGACTCCCTCCGCCGATTGGCTGCACCGAGAAATTCTGTCCATAAAAGTTTAGCGTTACCCACAATCCCATAATCACAGAGCACCCTCGACAGTGTGCCTCGGGAACACAGCCGAAGGTCTTCTGCAAGGCCACCAAACACATTTACTGGTAGACTGGTTGGGCAAAGTCCCATGCCCCCTCGAGGACTCTAGTGAAAGTAAAGATGTAGTCCACTGTTCCACGGCTGGGATAGAGACTACATTGTTCCTCCTTAACCTTCGGTTTGACCATCGACTGGACTCTGTTTTCCTAAATGGACCTTACCAGGGAGGCTGAGGCCCCTGTAACTGAAACACACCCTCCTTTTGAAGAGGGGACCCACCACCTCAAAGGTACTGCTCCTGATGTCTACGGGACATTGCAAAGATGTTTAAAAAGACATTTTCATGCCTCCAAAGTAACCAGCGGTAAAGTCTTGGTGTCCGGTATTTGCCGTGCCTCTCAGCAGCTGGGTCCAGACCGGGGTTTGTTTGCTCCTGTGTGGAGGTCGACATGTTTGCCTCGTGTTGCTGTGGTTGTTTTTTTTCTAGCCCTCAGTGTAAGCGCAAACAAGTCGCGTGAATCGGAGACTCTGTGGTTCCAATCCGCTTACAAGTTGTTATGGCTTGGCGGTGTTTTTCCACCACGGCCGACGACATAAATAAATGTTCTGTCGCGTCCGTGGCTCCGGCGGACCGTTAAAGCTTTAATGTCTCACTTCTACCTGCGCTCGGATCTTCTGAATCTAAAATATCTCTCAAGTCTCCGATACACTTGGCACGAGTATGGCTCAATGTTATGTCTGATTAAATCAGATCCCGGCAAGTGGAGGGAGCAGTTTTATCCACCACCAGGCGCAGTGGTGGAGCTAAGGGGGGGCCAATGGTGGTGAGCTTCAACCAGCCACCGGCCACCCCACTCATGTGAGGAAACTTTACTTTTAACAAATTTTAAAACTAGAAATCAGTTTCCTTAAATGACTGAGGTCCTTGGTTCACACACACACACACACACACACACACACACACACACACACACACACACACACACACACACACACACACACACACACACACACACACACACACAAAAACATTCTTCTTTTGGCTGCTCCCTTCTTCAGGGGTCACCTCAGTGAACTAACTCTTGTCTATCCATCCATCCATCCATTTGTCCATCCATCCATCCGTCCATCCATCTGTCCATCCGTCCATCCATCCATCCGTCCATCCATCCATTTGTCCGTCCATCCATCCATCCATCCATCCTCTTGTTCTGGACTCAGGTAGACTTGGTGAATGTTGATGATACCACAGCCTCTGTGTGGAGCAGGGAGCTCAACTAGGACACCTGGGGGAGCAGATGGTTGGGGTTAAGAGCCTTGCTCAAGGGCCCAGAGTGGGGCAAATGAAGGTGGCGTGTGTGGCGAGCACATATGAGTGTGTGGGTGCTTCACTTTTCCCACCCACATTTTGATGTTGTCGATACAGGGACTTGAACCGACAACCTTCTGATCACAAGTCCAACTTCTCTAACCTCTGCACCACGGTGACCTTTCTTACACATAGATTCAACGACGCAACAAAACGTACGTCTGCACATCGCCTATTTTTCTACTCATACAGCTCACGTGCTTAACATGTGTTCATTAATGGCAGCAGCCATCTTGGATTTTGACTTGGCAACCCACTTTTTAATACACCCAGATGCAGCCACGCACCAAAACACATGTTGGTGCCTGACTTTTCTCGTCAGGTTATCGTGCTCACCGCGTGCACGGCGGATAGACGGTACTTCCAATTCCTCCTCGTCGTTCCACAATGGGGGACAGCAAAACCATTCAGGCTGCAGGCTCTACTTTCACGTTCAAGCAGTTCACTAAATGTTAAGCACTTCATCACAAGAACCTAATTACAGGTTTGTCCGCAGACTGCAGGAGACGGCATGGCTGCTCTCGGTCCTTCACGAGTCCATCGTTTGATCCAAGTAAAGGTTCATAACGACGGGTTCCTCAGGAGCAGCGTGACCCTGAAACCTCCATCGAGTCATCCTTTCTGAGCAGGTTTGATGGACGCCTCTGAGAGTTTGGCTGCGAGACGGGATTCGTCTCTGAGTGGATCCCCTCGGTCAGGAGGAGCTCCCTCTGTTCCAGGATCAGCTTTGAAGGGACTCTGGCCCTTTGAGGTGAATTACCCATGACTGAGTCCCGCTGACAGTGAGAGGCCGGGAGGTCAGAGCAGACAAACGGCGGCTCAGGGACTCGGACTGACAAAACCGGTTTAGATGGATGCGGGGGGGGGGGGGGGGGGCC